TTTTGTTTCTTTATTTTCTTTTAGCTTCCGCACGTTTCTTGATTTTCTTTAATAATTCTTGGATCCCTATCGTGTCGTTATCATACCACTCCCGCGAGTAGAACCTTGAAATTGTCTTTAATAAAAGGATAAAAGGCAACTGACCCAATATTAATAAATAGCAAATTCTAAGCAAGAACCATACAACCTAAAGTAACAACATAGTTGTTTAGACAAGTTTTAATACGCACAGATTAACTAGTTTAATTATATAAACCCATCATTTGATTTGACTTGTTATACGAGATTCTAGCACTACTAGTGCTTGTAACCATAGGCATTATTATTATTCGCATCTCATATTTCAACTTCCCCGTATGCAATGCAAGGTGACGACTCCAATCTCGTCCACAATATTCTACTCGCGAAACAACAAGAACCAAAATTCTATATTCTAAAAAGAAATTCAGTGATTGAGCTCATTTATATGTTGTTACCCTGATATAAATAAATCTACAGGACATTGAATTGGTGGGCTAATAAGAAGAATGTATTGAATTAACATCAAAGATTGATGGAATTATCTTGATGCATGGATTCATCTTCTAACATCAAAGCATTTGAGAAGGATCTGGCATAGACTGTACTTAAAAGGTATTACTTTCATTTCGTTCCAAATTCTATGATGTCTAAGGCAAAAGAAAATTACTCCTATTACTACATGACTATTAGAACAATTATTATTGTTTCATTCAAATTCTTATCTTTTGATATGTATAATAATTTCATTTAATTGGGGGTGAAATCGCAGAAATAAATTGAAGGGAAGAGGAAAATAACGCAGAGTGGAGGCATTGGGTGGGCGGAGATGCAGGGTCAGGGGCACGCGCGGTCAGGGTCAAATGCGGGACGGCAGCCGCAGAATGCAAAGGCGGCGGCGCAGAGGCTGGCTCAGGTAATGGCGTATCAACAAGCCGATGATGACGAAGAGGAAGACGAGCTGTATGAATACAACCCTGTGGTTGTGGCTCCCTCTACAGCTGCTATTGGCCTTGGTGGAAGGCCCAATCGAACTCGTACTCCTCTGGTAAATATATACTTTAAAAAACTTGCACATGCTCCTTTGGTGTTTTTAATAAAATTACTGAAAAGAAAGTTATGGACCACAGTAGCATTATATTCCAAATAATCTATTTTAGCTCGGAGAGAGTATCTTTCTCTTTGAGAAATAAGTAAGTAGCTTGAGTTTTGGTTTCTTTTGTTGTGTGTTAGTCAGTCCGGACATCCATCGAACCACAGGCATCGACTACCCGTCCGGCATCACTAGGAATCCGACCATCTGCATCTACTGACTCTTTGGGTCAAAAGGTACTCTTACATAACACCATTAAAATACTTCCTCACTCTCAATTTTCCCCCTTCTGTTACTTTTTCCTCTTCTAAAAAATTAACACATTTACATTTTGTTATAAATGAGTATTTGTTATAGATCACAATTGGATAGTAGTTTTGGTACTATTACTTGTCTTACTTAGATAAACTCAGTGTCCAATCAAAGCCAAATAAATTGAGATCGCCTGTAATTTTTTTTATGCAAGAATCAAGATTGAAGTTTTGATTTCTTTGTTCTCTCTCAGCCAGTTCGTGCATCCATAGAAGCAAATGCATCATCTACACGTCCAGCATCAATCCGTACATCCATAGAACAACATGCACTGACTACACATCCAACGTCAATATTAGGAATCAGACCATCTTCGTCTTCAGAGTCTTTAGATCAGCAGCCTTTGTCAACTCGTTCAACGACACCTATTCGAACTTCTCTCCGATCAGGCTCCTCCTTGGAACATCAACAACAGCAACAGCAACAGCATGTACATGTTCATCAACATTCTCATTCATCTATCCAAACCACTTCTTCTACTTCTGCAGCTATCCCGAGTAAGCTAACTTTTCAATCTAAAAACACTTTGGAACAACCACTATCTGCTCGCGCACCAACTACACCTTTGGCTAGCAATCAATTATTGTCTCAATCCAGCATCCCGGAACAGCCTCTATCTGCTCGTGCTCTAGCAGCTAACCGCTTGGGTCACTTCGGTGGCAAGCCAGTTCCTGTTGTACCTTCTAATGTGCATTTCTCGCTCAGACCAGTTGGTTCTAATGCAGCTGCAATTGAGCCTCATCCTGAAGCTCGTAAAGATAAAAGGTAATCTTTGATTCTTTGAATCGGTAATCATAATTCTTTGAATTTTGCATTTCTTTGATTGGACCCATCTCAACATGTGTGCACCCTCGAAACTAATAAGTTACTATGAATATAGAGTTAAGCTAGTAAGCATGGTGAAGTCTCAAGTGTTTTTCCTTGTTCAAAAACGCTTTTACTAGTTTGAATGCACAAATAACTACACGAGTATGTCGTATAAGGTTTTGATGCTCACTATTTTGACAAAGTAGCTTTACCAGTTTTATTACAAATGTTGACATTTTAGTCATATAATTACTACACACTCTTCAGCTCTAGAATTAGAATTGAAGTTTGTTCCGAAATGTAAAACACTTGTCCGTCCATCCCACATTCTAGATGTTAGTCTTTGAACAGGACCAAGGGTAAACGCAAATATCAACTGGGAGTACATTAAACAGTCTTGTGCATTACTGAATGTGTTCTAATCTTTCATTTATTAGGTCACTGAGCAGGTTATCAGTAGATTTTGGCACTTTCAAGTATAAAGAACCTCCCACTCAGCCATCTTCATCTGCTTTACAAGATGAGGTTAGTTCATTTACCAATTGTATCAATCATTCAACTACATGTCAAACCTTCTAAAAACCAGAAAGTTTATAGAGTTGAACTTCCTGAACAGAGGAGTTCTCTTGGATAAGTTGCTATTTTTTTTTAGAATCTCTATTGAGTTCCCATGATCTCTAATTACAATATTGATGTGAATGAGATTTGATCCAAAATATAGGTTGACATGCTTCAAGAAGAGAATGAAAGTTTACTCGAAAAGGTAAGAACAACTTCCTTCTCAAAAGCAATCAGTTGGGTACTTAGGCGCTGGGTAACGCTAATTTTTCTAATAGAATTAGTTTATCATTTCAATCCATCGTGCTCACGGGCAGTGGATCGTTATATATCCTTTCAGCTTCGACTTGCAGAAGAGCGTTGTGAAGAAGCTGAGGCAAGGGCTAGGCAGCTTGAGCAGCAGGTAAATCTTCAAGAACATATTTGTTACTTTTCTCGCATTAGTTAGTTTTTCTCCTTTGCTTTCAGACTGTATGTTGATGCTGCCAACATTGCAATGCCACTGTTGGATGTTGCAAAATGATGAAATCTTTGCATCCACTACTAGAAATTCGGCAAAAACCGACCAAGGTCGACCGACCAACTTTGGTCGGTCAAAAAACCGATCAAAGTTGGTCGGTTTTTCAAAATATTTTTTTTTACGAAACCGACCAACTTTGGTCGGTTTTCTTTGGTGCAAAAATGCGGGAAATTATTTTTGAGTCCCGCAAAATTTATGTTTCAAGAAACCGACCAACTTTGGTCGGTTTTTCAATTAAAATAAATAAAAATTAATATTAAAAAAACCGACCAAAATTAGTCGGTTAATTCGGCGGGTCATTTAAAAAAACCGATCAACTTTGATCGGTAATTTTACTTTTTAATAAAATCGATCAACTTTGGTCGGTTATTTTCATGCGAAAATACAATTAAAGAGTATAAATCAAATAAAAGACAGTCTTAAAACAAAATGTACCAATGGTCTAGTGGTAGAATAGTATCCTGCCACAGTATAGACCCCGGTTCGATTCCCTGATAGTGAATCTTTTTATTACATAATTAAAATACCGACCAACGTTGGTCGGAAAAAACCGACCAACTTTGGTCGGTTTTTTTTTTTGCAATATTTTTTTTTTTGAATTTAATTGATCGACCAAAGTTGGTCAGTAATTTCCGACCAACTTTGGTTGGTATTCCTTTCCGACCATAAAAATACCATCCACACGTAAATGGTCGTGTTTTGGTCGGTTTTTGGCTATTACCTACCAACGTTGGTCGGTTTTTACCGAATTTCTAGTAGTGATCATGGGTTCGAGCAGTGGTTCGAGTAATTCCACTGCTGAAAGTAAGAGGTTCGCAGAAAAGTCTTGAGCCTTCACAATATTTGAGTTGCTTAACATATGTTGTTAGGATCGGGAACTCGGGCAGTGCGGAATTTAGCCAAACAATGTTATAATGACAATAACAAAGATAATGCAAGTTGATAACAACGACAAATACCCCCGAGAGAATAACCTCACAAGATCGCTCCAAAGAAAGGGGATCACACAAGTGTTTCTCAACACTCACTCTCTTACAAAATACTCTCAATTACTAAAGGAGAAGAAGAAACAAGAAATGAAGACTCACGTCTTGTTGGTGTGTTTAAAATGAACTAATTGCCTTTCCTTTTATAGGCAAAAAAGCCTTGGCCTCTTAGTTGTAAAAGAAAAGATACAACTTGTGCAAATGATATCCATTTGGGTCCCAAAGAATATTACCAACAAAGTCTACTTTGTAAATAGGCTTATGCTAATGTGAGATGCACTCCACTAGTCAAAATATTGGCCATAATTACATATGTCTTGCTTTTAGGTTGCCAGTCTTGGGGAAGGTGTGTCAATGGAGGCTCGTCTTTTAAGCAGGTAAGCTTCATAATCAAAGAACATTGACCTTCATTCTAAAATCATCTAGGCTAAATTCAATATGTTTTTATTTTTCCTTTGTACAGGAAACAAGCAGCTCTACAACAAAGGGAGGTATGTATGATAAAGAGTTCAATACATTCTTCCTTATTTTATATTTTGTGACACACGTCAGTTGAATGTATAACTTCAAAGAGATAGTATAATTTACTGTACATTAATATAGTAGAAGAAAAAAATATTGTAGAGTTAATCCGATAGGGAACATCACATAACAATCGAAGTACAGTTTGAATCTTAAACTTGTTAGGTGTAAAGAAATGTATGATCTTTTAGTAGAAACTTTTCACATAAAGTAGGAAAGCGACAGTATGATATTATCATATTTATTTCACTTATTCCGCTTGGATGAAATTAAAGATGTGTACTTCACAGGCTGCTCTAAAAGTTGCAGCACAAACTTACGGTGGAAAAAGTGACGAGCTTGCAGCTCTTCGAACAGAAGCTGAGGTATTTGTAACCTTCATCCTTTATATTTGATTTCATATTTCAGGAATAGTTCATTCTTTAAATCTATGATTAAGGACTAAGAATTCCTATTTTAGTCTTCTGAGATATAAGTGCTACAAATTAAAACTTCAATATTATCCTTTCAGAAAGAAAAAGAACTTAAAAGTTTTGTGAATGTATCTTTAGCTCAATCTTGATTTCACGATGAGTCGTTGGATGTGAGGCCTTTAGAATTGAAGTATTCTGATAGCTTATAACAAGTCTTAGAGAATAGTATAGAACATAATTACTGAAAATTCAAAAGTTTGGAGATAAAAAAAAAGTAGAAAATGTTTAAAACTTACTCCCTCTGTTTCAATTTATGTGAACTTATTTCTTTTTAAGTTCGTGCCAAAAAAAATAGCCCAGTTCCATATTTAGAAACAATTTACCTTTATGCAATGATTTATAGTCACACAAAATATATGTGCCTCATTTTACACCACAAGTTCAAAAGTCTTCTCTTTTTTCTTAAACTCCGTGGCCAGTCAAATAGATTCACATAAATTGAAACAGAGGGAGTATATCGTGGATATTATTTCAATATTTCATTTTTCCAAAGAATTCAAAAAAGACATTTGCATTTTTCTTTGGCAGTTTATAGTCGTGAAATGTCATTGTATTTTCTTACTTAGTAGTTGTATACGGTCGAAATTAATTTCGACATTCGTACGACTGATCGAGATGGGATCATAATAGACCAAAGGAAGATTTGTAATATCGAGATGGGTTCCGAATATGGTACGAACGAGCTTCAGATTTCAGGTATAGGTCAAACACCGAGTTCGAAGTCATTATCGAGCTCGGGTCCGAATCGAACTATGATGAGATGTTGTGGAATCAAGCTTAAGGGGTAGAGGCCAACCGATACTGAGCCCGAATCATCACCTGATCCCGAGTCGGCATCGAGCAAGTCCGCATCGAGCTCTAAAAATAATACCGACCAGCACCGAGGGCGATCGAGCTCGAGCTCACAGACAAAGAGCCCTTGCAAACGCACTAAGGGAGAGAATCTCGGTGGGAATTAGGGAAAAGCTGATTTATCATGGGTTCCCCACTATGTATTTTTAATTATATCTAAAATAGGATCCTCCACTATAAAAAAGATGGCTACATTTCTGTAAAAGACAGTTTTTTGCTTACATTGTAACTAAAACACCATACACTCCTATATTGAAGAGTTATTCTTTTAAGCTTCATATATTGATTCATCTTGCTTAGTCCTAAAAATCATGTTCTTTCCAGCCTTGTTTATTTTACATTTTTTACAATCCGTATTTGATATTTTTATTTATTCTTATGATTTGTATTAAGTTATACCACATATCCTTAGAACTACGTACAAATTCAACTCTATCCATTTTTCGGGTAAACAGTTTGGCACCCACCGTAGGGCTAAGGATAACAATGGTTATTTGATACGAATCTGCAAATACACGCCATTTTACGCCTGTCTTTTGAAAGTGTCTTTGGCTTCGGATTAGAAATGGCAAACCCTCAATTAATGGCTTTACCTATCGAAAACGAAACCGGCCTTCAAGACGAAACCAACAACTTGACGCCTAGGGCCGGAAGGCCGCTTGTCGATGCCATGGAAGCTCGAGTCGGAGCACCTGAAGCTTGGATCGAAGTACCACTAGACGTTAATTCACATGTGGCCCTTGAGGCGAACCAATGTTCTGAACTTGAAAATAGCGTTCATGGCGGTACTCGATCTGCGACTCGAGACACCCATAACGTTGAGGAAAACGGAGTCAGCTTGCGTATTATTTTTAAAATGTTGCAAGCCCAATAGGTAGCGATAGCTCAGTTGCAGAGCCAAACCTAGACACCAAGCAGGCCAAAGCCCAATCCACCTCGAGAAATTGCCCACAGAACGGAGCCAACAGTAGTAGGTCAAATGAGCAAGAATCGGGGACTACTCCCGAAATTGCTAAGATACTCGAGGAGCTCACAAAGTGGATCGAAGCAAACGATAAAAAAGTAAAAACATACAACTCCAGGGTCGATCAGATCCTGGAGGCACCACTAATGATAAAAGGGTTGGATTCCAAAAAATTCTTGCAAAAGCTTTTTCCCTCGAGTATCCAGCTGGAACTTGGGCGGATGTGCACAATCGATATCAGTCAAAAATCAGGGTCGAAGATGACCAATTAGGAGCTCCTTCCGGATCAGTACATCCAAACAGGTCGGTTATTAAAAACCAGAGGAACATCGACAGAGAGCCAAGGTCGAACAGAGACCGATATCAACCATACACCACAAATCGAAGGAATAATGATTCAGGATGCAATTCCGCCCGGAACAATCGAAGGAGTGATCAAGGACAGAATTCTCGGGGACTTATGAGCAAAAGCGATTTCGACAAATATGCCGATCCTATAGAGGCACCTCGATTATCGGAATATAACTTTAGCATCGATGCATCGGGCATTGTATTGGCAATCGAAAGGATCAAGGATACTAGATGGCCCAGACCCATGTAAACCGATCCCTCCCAAAGAAACCCAAATTCGATGTGCAAATATCATGGCACACATGGCCACAAGACCGAGGATTGCAGACAATTAAGGGAGGGGGTAGCTCGTCTATTCAATGAGGGCCACCTTCGAGAGTTCCTCAGCGATCGAGCCAAGAACCATTTCACAGAGAGAGATGCCAATAGAAAAAATGAACAGGAGGAACCTCAACATATCATTCATATGATCATCGGTGGGGTCGACACTCCACAGGAACCCATACTCAAATGCTCAAAGATACCGATCACTAGAGAAAAACGAACCCGAGATTACGTGATCGAAGACACTTTATCATTCAACAACAAAAAAGGCGAAGGCATCTCTCAGCCCCACAACAACGCTCTGGTAATTTCTATCTTATTAGATAAAGTTCAAGTTAAGCGTGTTTTAGTGGATCCAGGTAGCTCTGCAAATATCATCCGATCGAAGGTCGAGGAGTAACTCGATCTGCAAAATAAAGTCGTGCCCGCAGCTCGGGTCTTAAACGACTCCAAAATGGCCAGTGAAATAACTAAAGAGGAGATTATTCTACCGGTAAACGTGGCTGGGACCATCCAAAATACCAAGTTCCACGTAATCGAGGGTGACATGAGGTACAACGCCCTACTCAGAAGGCCTTGAATCCACAATATGAGGGCAGTACCTTTGACTCTTCACCAAGTAATAAAATTCCCGACGTCAGATGGTGTAAAAAAAGTGTACGGGGAGCAGCATGCTGCGAGGGAAATGTTTGCGGTCGATGAGGTAACGCCGATGTCAACACTCTCGGAAAGGTCAAGCATCAAAGGTAAACGAGAAGTTAAATAGCAATCACAGCCGCCAGCCTCGACCGAATCAGGGAAGCAGGAAATAGAAGAAGATGAGGAGGATTTTTTGATCCCTCGAACTTTTATCATCCCCGAAGATTCTGACGCCACCAAATCGACGGTCGAAGAACTGGAACAGGTTATATTGATCGGGCATCTGCCCGAGAGAAAGGTATACCTGAGAATGGGATTGACCCCCGAACCCAGGAAAAAACTTATTCAATTTCTTTTCGATAATATAGATTATTTTGCTTGGTCCCATTCAGACATGACAGGGATCCCACCGTTGATAACAACGCACCGACTGAGCCTGGACCCTAGGTTCAAACCGGTGAAGCCAAAGAGAAGACCCCAGTCCAAGGTAAAGCATACATTCATAAAGGACGAGGTAACTAAACTTCTCAAAATAGGGTCCGTTCGGGAGGTAAAATATCCCGGATGGTTAGTCAATGTAGTTGTAGTCCCTAAAAAAGGGAACAAACTTAGAATGTGTATAGATTATAAGGATCTAAATAAGGCATGCCCCAAAGATTCTTTTTCGCTGCCCAACATCGATCGCATGATCGATGCCACGGCCGACCACGAGGTCCTTACTTTTCTCGATGCCTATTCCGGGTATAATCAAATCTAAATGAACCCGGAAGACCAGGAAAAGACTTCATTTGTCACCAAGTATGGAACATATTGTTATAATGTGATGCCCTTCGGGCTAAAAAATGCAGGAGCTACTTACCAACGCCTAGTAAATAAAATGTTCGAGGAACAAATAGGTAAATCAATGGGAGTTTATATTGATGGCATGCTAGTTAAGTCCCTGCGCGTAGAGGACCATTTGGCTCATTTGCAAGAAACATTCGAGATTTTAAGGAAATACAACATGAAGCTCAACCCCAAGAAATGTGCTTCTGGGGTCAGTTCGGGCAAGTTCCTCGGTTTCATGGTATCAAATCGGGGGATCGAGAGCAACCCCGATAAAATCAAAGCCATCGAAGACATCGCCATCGTGGATAGTGTAAAAGCTGTGCAAAAGCTTACCGGATGGATAGCCCGCATTAGGCCGATTCATTTCCAGGTCATCGGATCGGAGCCATAGATTCTTCTCTCTACTAAAAAAGAAGAACGATTTCGCCTGGACCCCGGAATGCCAACAAGCATTAGAAGAATTGAAGCGATACTTGTCGAGCCCTCCACTACTTCACATACCGAAGGCAGATGAGAAACTTTACTTATACTTGACGGTATCGGAAATCGCGGTGAGCGGCGTACTAATTCGAGAAGAGCAAGGTACGCAATTTCCTATTTATTATCTAAGTCGAACCTTAGGAGAAGCAGAAACTAGATATCCACACTTAAGAGAAATTGGCACTTGCACTGATAAGCGCCTCTAGAAAGTTAAGACCATACTTTCAATATTACCCCATATGTATGTTAACCACTTACTCACTTCGTAATATTTTGCACAAGCCCAAACTATCGGGCCGATTGGCCAAATGGGATGTCGAACTCAGTGGGTACGATATCAAATATCAACCCTGTACAACCATCAAGTCCCAAATTTTGGCGGACTTCATGGCCGATTTCACGCCAACCCTCATACCCGAAGTTAAAAAAGAACTTTTGATAAAATCGGGTACGT